CCACTAATTTACATTCTGTTTCTATAGACCTGCTTCTTTTAAACATTTCATATAAATGGAAACATGATATGGTGCTTTTGTGACTGGTTTTTCTTCATTTTGTATGTTTTCAAGGCTCATCTGTGTATGTCATAGCATTCATGAGTACTTCATTCCTTTTTTTATTACTAAATAATATTCCATTGTATAAATCTGCATTTTGTTTATTTATTATCACTTGACACATTTGGATTGTTTCTATTTTTGTCTGTTATAAATAGTGCTGTAACCATTCATGTCCAAGTTTTTGTGTGTACATATATTTTTAATTCTCTTGGGTATATACTTAGGGGAATTGCCAGGCCATATGATAACTCTATGTTTAACTCTTTGAGGGACTGCCAGTCTGTTTTACAAAGGGGCTGCACCATTTTACAATCCCATCACCGATGTACAAGGATTTTAATTTCTTTCACATCCTCACTAACACTTGTTACCTCTTTTTTATTATAGTTTTCTAGGGGAAATGAAGTGGTACCTCAATGTGGTTTGATTTTCATTTCTCTCCTAATTCCTAATGTTGAGCGTTTATTCAAGTGCTTATTATCCATTTATATATCTCCATTAGAGAAATCTTATACAAATTTGTTGCCCACTTTGAAATTGGGTGTTCTTTTATTATTGACTGTAAGAGTTCTTCATATATTCTGGATATAAACACCGTATTAGATGCATGATTTGTAATTTTTTTCCCATTCCATAGGTGCTAGAGGATTTTTATAATTATATTTTTATTAGGTTAAGGAAATTGCCTCTAATCCTAGTTAGCTAAGAAACTCATCATTGTGGTTATTAAATTTTTAGAAGTTAATTTTTACAAAAGTAATATGTATATAATTTAAAGAGTCAGTACCATCAAGAAAAGCATTCATCTGCCCCACTCCTTCTCAATCCCAATTTTTACTTGGCACTTTAGCTCTTAACAGTGATATCTTCTGATATTTAACCCCAGTTTTCTAAATAACATGTGGGTTCTGCTGCTTTTGAATTTTCAATTTTAGATATTCTCTATTGACTTCCTATTATGTATGATGATACATTAGCTTCTTTTTCTTCTCTCTGTTTCTCTTTCTCTTCTTACTTTTCCTCTCCTTTTTACCTTTCTCCATTCTCTTACTCTTCATTCTTTCACCATAATTAATATTCAGTGTGTATATCATTGTGTATGCATATTATCACAGCTCATGATAGCAACTATCATATAGCTTACTTGATTAAATTTGTACACAACTTTATGTTTCCCATGTGGTAATACTTATCAGTTTGTGGATTTTTTCCTTTCTTATTTGCTTAGTTTTCTATTTATCTATAAACCCACCTGTCAATTTTTAGGTGACCTAGGCAGAAGTAGCCTTGGAGTAGTTTCATGATTCAGTGTGTAGAATTTCGTTCAGGCCTTGTTTTTAGTACATTGCCTTCAGTAGTTGAGGATTTTCTGTAGTTTGGGTTTTCTTTTACCTTGTCTGTTTTTGTTTTTGTTTATTTGTTTGTTTTGAAGTGTAGTTGACACGCAACATTCCATTAGTTTTCAGGCACTACATTAATTTCAACTTAGTGATTCATCAAGTCTTTATGTTATTCTATGCTCATCACAAGTGTAGCTACAGTCTGTCACCTTATGCTATTAAAGTACCATCGACTATTCTCTATTCTGTATCTTTTATCCATGTGACTTATTCATTTCATAACTGAAAGTGTATCTCCCATTCTGCTTCTAGCAAGCCATTGGTTTGTTCTTTGCATTTATGGGTCTGTATCAGCTTTTTGTTTATTTGTTTTGTTTTTTAGATTCCACATGTAAGTGAAATCATGTTGTATTTGCCTTTGTCTGATTTATATTTAACAAAATAGCCTCTACTCCATCCATGTTGCCACAAATGGCAAGATTTCATTCTTTTCTTTGGTTGAGTAGTATTCGTGTGTGTGTGTGTGTGTGTGTGTGTGTGTGTGTGCGTGTGTGCTTATACACCACATCTTTATTCATCTATGGATGGACACTTGCATTACTTCCATATTTTGGTTATTGTAAATATTGCTGCAATAAACATAGAGGTGCATTTGTCTTTTTGGGTGAGTGTTTTCATTTTCTTTGGCTAAATACCCAGTAGTGGAATTACTGGATAATATGATACTTCTATTTTTTTTTTTTTTTTTTTTTTTATTTCTAGGAGAGAGAGAGAGACAGCGTGAGCAGGGGAGGGTCAGAGAGAGAGGGAGTCACAGACTGAAACAGGCTCCAGGCTCTGAGCTGGCTGTCAGCACAGAGCCCGACGCGGGGCTCGAACCCACGAACCGCGAGATCATGACCTAAGCGAAAGTCGGACGCTTAACCGACCAAGCCACCCAGGCGCCCCGATACTTCTATTTTTAATATTTGAGGAACTTCCACAATGCTTTCTGCAATGGCCATTCCAATTTACATTCCCACCAACAATGCAAGAGGGTTCCTTTTTCTCCATATCCTTATCAACACTCTATTTCTTGTCTTTTTGAGTCTAGTCATTCTGAGAGGTGTAAGGTGGTATCTCACTGTGGTTTTGATTTACATTTCCCTAATGATTAGTTGCTGAGCATCTTTTCATGTGAGAGTTGGCCATCTGTTTGTCTTTGAAAAAATGTCTATTCGGAAGTTCTGTAGTTTTATAGAATAAATTGCCAGTGTTCTGCCACTGTTGGGGAAGAATTGTGGCCTTTATATAAAGTATTGCTGACGGGACTTGATTTTTTTTTTTTTTTTACAAATAGTTTATTGTCAAATTAGTTTCCACATAACACCCAGTGCTCATCCCCACAAGTGTCCTCCTCCATGCCCATCCCCCCTCCCCCCCCATATCCATCAGTTCTGTTTTTGTCAGCATTCAAGAGTCTCTCATGGTTTGCCTCTCTCCCTTTCCCCTACCATTTCCCCCCTTCTTCTCCCCCTTGTTCCTCCGTCAAGTTCCTCCTAATCCTCCTATACGTGCAAACATATGATATTTGTCCTTCTCTGCCTGACTTATTTCGCTCAGCATAATGCCCTCAAGGTCCATCCATGTTGCTACACATGGCCAGATTTCATTGTTTCTCATTGCCATGTAGTATTCCATGGTATAGATAAACCACATCTTCTTGATCCATTCATCTGTTGATGGACACTTAGGCTCCTTCCATGTTTTAGCTATTGTGGAGAGTGCTGCTATGACCATTGGGGTACATGTGCTTCTATGCCTCAGCATTTCTATATCCCTTGGGTAAATTCCTAGCAGTGCTATTGCTGGGTCATAGGGGAGTTCTAGTGTTAGTTTCCTGAGGAACCTCCACACTGTTTTCCAGAGGGGCTGTACCAGTTTACATTCCCACCAACAGTGTAGGAGGGTGCCCGTTTCTCCACATCCTCGCCAGCATCTAGAGTTCTCTGATTTGCTCATTTTAGCCACTCTGACTGGCGTGAGGTGGTATCTCAGTGTGGTTTTGATTTGTATTTCCCTGATGAGGAGGGATGCTGAGCATCGTTTCATGTGTCTGTTGGCCATCTGGATGTCCTCTTTGGAGAAGTGTCTGTTCATGTCTTCTGCCCATTTCTTCACTGGGTTGTTTGTTTTTCGGGCGTGTAGTTTGGTGAGTTCCTTATAGATTCTGGATATTAACCCTTTATCTGATATGTCATTTGCAACTATCTTTTCCCATTCCGTTGGTTGCCTATTAGTTTTGTGGGTTGTTTCCTTTGCTGTGCAGAAGCTTTTAATCTTGATGAGGTCCCAATCGTTTATTTTTGTGAGGGGACTTGATTTTAAAAAGAAGAATTACTTGTTTTTCATTAATAATTTGTAGTGCTGAATGTCTTTCCAAATTCATTCTTTGCTTCTTTTTCAAAAATCTTTCTATTTGTATCCTTCAGTGTTTTGTTCAGTGGAAACTAATTTTACTCTAGGTGTGTATTTTTCACATCGATGTGTAAATGAATGTTAAAATTTATCTGTCTTAATTTATCTTAACTATTTTCTCATTTTACTTTTATTGAACACATACTTTATTGTCAACCATCAGCGTTGTCACCAATATCTTTTACTTCAATATTCAGAGTTTTCTCTTCACAGTGTGGAAATGCATACTTTTCTTTCTCCTTATATCCACACTTCTTTTTTTTTAAGTTTGCTTTAAGCACTTTAATTTTTTTTAATATTTTTTAAGGTTTATTTATTTTTGAGAGAGAGACAGAGTGCAAGCGGAAGAGGGGCAAGGAGAGAGGGAGACAGAATCTGAAGCAGGCTCCAGGCTCCGAGCTGTCAACACAGAACCTGACAAGGAGCCCACGCTCCTGAGTCATGAGATCATGACCTGAGCCGAAGTCGGACGCTTAATGAACTGAGCCACTCAGGCGCCCCTCTTAGGTCCACACTTTTATCTGTATTAAAACTTCTTAGTCACATGAAAACAAATGAGCCAGTTAGTATACATTTTGTATTTAGCATATATTTTTTCCTTGAAGTCATTTTTACGATTTTCCTGTTCATACAGTCATATTATTCTCATTGTTGGAATGCTCCCTGGAAATAATTCAGGCAAATATTATCTTTTAAGTTCTTTGGCGAAACCATTTGGTGCATTTTTTTAAAGTAAGCTGTACGCCCAACATGGAGCTTGAACTCACAACTTTGAAATCAAGAATTGCCTGCCTTAACAACTGAGCCCACCAGGTTTGCCTAGTTCATTACTTTTGAAGGGTACTAAATAATACCCTAATTGCCTGAAGAAGTAATGAACTTCCTAAATGTATAATTTATTGTCAAAGTGCCTTGAACTCTGAAGAAAATTTTGGGATATATAGGAATTTAAAACATACTATTAGCATTTGTGTCTTGATAATGTTTTCCTAAAATTTCAATGTATATTTCATTTGGATTTTATTATAGTTTTAAGAGGTTTGTTTTCCTCTTCTTCCTGTTTCCTGCAGTATACTTAATGACAGTAATTTCTTATAGGGACATTTTTCTTCTGTTCTTCAAAAAGAAGAAAAGGTCTTACCAATTTATGGTAGAGAAGAGGCAAGAGAAGTACCAATTATTAGTGCTTCAACTCAAATAATACTCAAAGGACTTTTTATGGTGTTTGACTATCTTTTCAGGCAAAACAGCAGGTAAGTAAATACATATGATTTGTATTCTTACTCTTAAAAATATTAATTTTATTGGGTGCTAGTATGCATTTAATCTGTACCTATTTTGTGTGGGTACCTGGGATCATTGTAAATAAGTGGTATAATATTACTCTTACTGGCACAGACTTAGATCAATTGAATTAGTCTTTATTAGTGAAAATGAGAATTGAAATAAATAAATGCACTTTAAATACATTTTATTAGTTACTTCAGCATTAAATTCTTGGTTATATATGACAGAACTTAAACATTTAGGTTTTAAGTGTAGTTTTAGATATGTTTCAGAAAGTCTCTTTCTTACTGCATAAAGCCTCTATCTGGTGAAATATGGAATATGAGAAACAGTTAACTCCCCTCACTCTACCACTCATTAAATTATAGTACTATTTGGTTCCTGTTTTTTTTTTTATGTGGTAAAATATACATAACATAAAATTTACTATTTTAACCATTCTTAAAATAATGTGTTTTAGTAGCATTAGGTTTATTCACATTGTTGTGCAGTCATCCATTTCTAGAACTTTTTCATCATCCCTAATAGGATCTCTATATCCATGAAATAGTATTTCCCATTTCCCTCTTCCCACAACCTCTGGTAACCTCTATTCTTTCATCTCCATTGATTTGCCCTTTAGTTATCTCCCAAAAGTAGAATCATATATATTTGTTCTTTTGCATCTGACTTATTTCACTTAGCATGTTTTCTTTTTTCTATTTCTTTCTTTTAGAGATTTTATTTTTAAGTAATCTCTACACCCAACGTGGGGCTCAAACTCATGACTCTGAGATCAAGAGTTCCATGCTCTGTAGACTGAGCTAGTCAGGCACCCCAATAATGGATACTATCTCTTTAATAAATATAAGACTATTAAATTTTTATTTCTTCTTGTATTCATTTTAGTTAATTCTTTCCAAGGGATTTGTCCAGTTTATGCAAATTGTCACCTTTATTGGCAGATGGTTGGTTGATACCATTTTCTTATTACCTTTTTAATGTATTGAAAAGCAACTGAAACTCAAAAGAAATAGAAGAATCAAGATAAAAATAGAAACCAGTGAAAAATGTTATAAATGTACAATAAAGAAAATCAATGACACTAAAGTTGATTCTTCAAAAAGATACTAAAATTGATAAATCATTTAGCATGTTTTCAAGGTTTATACATATTGTAATAGATATCAGAATGCCATTCCTTTTTATGGCCGATTATTCCATTGTATACATGTACCATATTTTGTTTATCCATTGTTCTATTCATGGACCTTTGGATTATTTTCACTTTTATCTATTGTGAATAATGCTAAGTGAATTTTGATGTACAGGTATCTGTTTGAGTCCCTAGCAGTGGAATTGCAGGATCTTATGGTAATTCTGTATTTAACTTTTTTGAGGAACCAACAGACTGTTTTCCATAGCAACTGCATGTTTTAGATTCCCATAGTTATGCACAACATTTCTAGTTGTTCTGCAGCCTTCTTTCTGGCTTTTGGATAATAACCATCCTAATGAGTGAGTTATCTGGTTATAGGTTTGATTTACCTACCCTCCAGTAATGGCTAGTTTGTTGAATATCTTTTCATATGCTTATTGTCCATTTGCAGGTGTTCATTGGAGTAATGTCTATTCATACCCTTTGCTTGTTTAAAAAAATTTTTTTTAAGTTTATTTATTTTGAGAGAGAAACAGAGAGCGAGCAGGAGAGGGGCGGAGACAAAGGGAGAGAGAGAATCCCAAGCAGGCTCAGCACCATCAGTGCAGATCCCAATGTGGGGTTTGAACCCACAAACTGCGAGTTTCTGACTTAAGCTGAAACCAAAAGTTGGACACCCAACCGAGCCACCCAGGCAACCTTCTTTGCCCATTTTTTAAAATGTTTATTTATTTTTGAGAGAGAGAGAGAGTGTGAGGAGGGAGGGGCAGAGACAGAGAGGCACAGAATCTGAAGCAGGCTCCAGGCTCTGAGCTGTCTGCACAGAACCCAATGTGGGACTCCAACTCACGAACTGCGAGATCATGACCTGAACTGAAGTCAGATGCTTAACCGACTGAGCCACCCAGGTTCCCGTCCTTTGCCCATTTTTGAATTGGGTAGTAGTGTTGTTGTGGAGTTGTAAGAGTTACTTATATGTTCTGCATATTATCCCATATCAGATACATGTTTTACAAAGATTTTTTATTCCTTGGTTGTCTTCTCATTCTCTGATAGTGTTCTTTGATGCACAAAAGTTTTTAAATTTTAATCAAACTCAGTTTATCTGTCTTTTCTTTTGTTGCTTGCGCTTTTTGTATATATAAGGAATATCTTAAGATCTGGTATCATAAAGATTTTGCCCTATGTTTTCTTCTAAATGTTTTATACTTTTTAGCTCCCTGTACTTTTATAAAATTCTCTCCACAGATTTTAGGGTCCTGACTTGAACTTTGAGATCTTATCTCTCTAGAGATGAAGTTAACAGTAAATATTACTGTGAGGACATGGTAGAGAATACTAGTTTTATTCTGTAAGTCCAAGTGTGTATAGCCTCTTATTGAAAGAAATTATAAGTTGGATGGGATCACAAAGATCAATACCTTCATTAAAAGTTAACAAAGACTAAAAAAACGTTAATGAAGACTGAGACCCATATTTTAAAGGAACTTGAATTTTGTAATTAGTTTCCTAAACTTTTGAAGTTTTCAGTAAAAATTCTTTCCATTTTTCTCATGTAATGAATCATAAAATGCACTGTTTAGTTTCTTTAATGATAGCTATTATCTATTTTGTAGTTGATAATGTAGCACAGAGTACAAAGAGCTCTGGACTAGAAATTATGAGACCTGGATTTTAATTCTGTCTCTGCCATAATTTATGTATTGTTTGGACATAGGGATGGGAAATGGTAAGAAGTGGGTAGTTAGCTAATACCTAATCTCTGTATGAGAAAGTTGATTGTAAGATTTAATGGTTCATTTTCTATCAGAATTACTGAATTTAATTAGTGGTGAGGGTTGTTGGTGGGGAAAATGTTATCTTTGAGTGGGAAGATATCACAACTCTCAACTTAGTTTTAATCAGTTTTTACATTGTATGTAGCTGGGACATCATATGTTTCATAAAGTTTTGCCATTTAATTACCATTTTATTTTCATCCAGATTTGCAGATGATTATAAAGTTGCTATTCAACAGACTTATTCTTGGATACATCAGACTAATATTTCAGATAAAAGTGAATTCTTTGCTCAAGCCAAAAACAAGAAACGTATAAGACAGAAAACTGCAGTTCGTGTGCTAAACTTTTGGTGCTTAAATCCAGCTGTGGTAAGCCTATCATGTTGTAAATGAAACTTCTGTCATCTTGCTCAGTACCAACAATTAAATAATTATGTTTGACTCTTTTAAAGATGATTTTATGTATCTAGTAATGTTTCCTTTTAGGCCTTTTCAGATATTAATGACAAAGTTTGGACCATTGTTTTGACATCTGGGACATTATCACCAATGAAATCCTTTTCATCAGAACTTGGTGTTACGTTTACTATCCAACTGGAGGCTAATCATGTCATTAATAACTCACAGGTTAGTTTTCTGAAGGCTTTCAATCTTATTACCTCAGTATAATTTTAATTTATTTTTTTAATGTTTTTTATTTACTTCTGATAGAGAGAGAGAGACAGCGTGAGCAGGGGAAGGTCAGAGAGAGAGGGAGACACAGAATCCGAAGCAGGTTCCAGTCTCCAAGCTGTCAGCACAGAGCCCAACGCGGGGCTCAAACCCACGAACTGTGAGATCATGACCTGAGCTGAGGTCTGACGCTTAACTGACTGAGCCACCCAGGTGCCCCAATATAATTTTATATTAAAAAAAATTAGAAGATACCTGAAATACTAGCAAACAGATCCTGTAGGAAATTCAACATCTTAGTTTGAGTATAAAAGAAAATCTGTCAGCTACTTGGTAGTGTCAACAAAAGGAGATACTGAAATAAGTAGCATTCCTTCAGTTTAGTGTGTAAAAATACACACTTTAGATGCAAAGACTGTATTGCAGTTTCCTCATGTAAATATGTTTTAGGGTTTTTTTTTAAATGAGAATTAAAAACAAAACAAAGGGCTCCGGGTGGCTCAGTCAGTAAAGCATCTGACTCTCTTTTGGCTCAAGTCATGATCTCACAGTTCATGGGTTGGAACCCTTCATCGGGCTCTGTGCTGACAGTGCAGAGCCTGTTTGGGATTCTCTCTCTCCCTCTTTCTACTCCTCCCCCATGCATGCTGTCTCTCTTTCTCTCTCAAAATAAGCTTAAAAAATTTTAACTTCTTTACCATAGTTCCTGCACATAATTACTTGTTCATGTGTTTCTCTTTTCCAATAGATAGTGGTATTTCTTTATTCCTTTCATGTTCCCATTCTTCCACTACACCTAGATTAATTCCTGGCATTAGTTAGTTAGCAAGTGTTCAGCATAGGTTTTAATATCTGAAATTAATTAAAAATACTCTCATGAGTTTTAGAACTTAAATTTTTAATGTTTTAGAACAATACCACATTTATGTTATTTAGTTCCCTAGGAACATTTGAATTGTCATTTGTCAGTCTATTCTGTTTCTTTTTAGAAAGTAATTTAAAGCAGCTAGCTACATATTGAGCATCACATGTGTGCCTAACACAATTCTAGTTCTTTATAAAGCTGTTGTTTTCAACCAAGGTGTATTTGAAAGGACATTTTGGTTTTCACAGTTACTTGGCAGGAACTGTTGACATTTAGTAGGTGGGGGCCTGGAATGCTAAGCTTCTATATAACTAAGAGTTGTGCTTTCTATAATGGCAGAGTGCTCCTGTTTGGAAATACTGCTATAAACAATAGTGAAGGAAAAATATGTGTTCCACTTTTTTTTTTTTTTTAACTTTCTGTTTACATTCCAGTTAGTTAACATACAGTGTAATATTAATTTCAGGAGTAAAATTTTTTGATTTAACACTTATATACAACACCCAGTGCTCATCACAAGTGTACTCTATGCTCCACAGTTTGTTTTTTTTTAATGTTTTATTTATTTCTGAGAGAGAGAGAGAGACAACGTGAGCAGGGGAGGGTCAGAGAGAGAGAGGGAGATACAGAATCTGAAACAGTCTCCAGGTTCTGAGCTGGCTGTCTGCACAGAGCCTGACACAGGGCTCAAACCTATGAACCGTGAGATCATGACCTGAGCCAAAGTTGGAAGCTTAACCCACTGAGCCACCCAGACGCCCCATATGCTCCAGTTTTAAGTCTCTTCCTTCAGAGGTTCAAATAAATATGGGAAGCTATTAATAAATTTAGCATATTTTCTCATAAGAATGGTATTATAGGCTCTGAGTTCTCAGTCTAGTACACAAAAGCCTGTTTAACCTGTAATGTCAATGGATTATAATAGTAAAAATGCCAATTGTTCAGTTGAATTCTATTATAACATTTACCCCTAACTTTTTTTCTTTTTTAATTTCTTTATATATTTTTGAGAAAGAGAGCATGTACACAAGAGTTGGGGAAATGGAGAGAAAAAGAGAGAAATTCCCAAGCAGGCTCCACACTGTCAGCACAGAGCCCAATGCAGGGCTTGAACTGAGATCATGACCTGAACTGAAATCATGAGTCAGACGCTTAGCTGACTGAGCCACCCGTGTACCCCTCCTCCCAACTTTTAAAAGAGTTTTTAAAAAATATTTATTTATTTTTGAGACAGAGACAGTCATGAATGGGGGAGGGGCAAAAAGAGAAAGAGACACAGAATCTGAAGCAGGCTGCAGGCCTTGACCTGTCAGCACAGAGCCCAACACAGGGCTCAAACCCACAAACCATGAGATCATGACCTGAGCCGAAGTTGGACGCATAACTGACTCAGGTGTCCCCAAAATTTATTTTTTATTGTGAAATGTTTTATTATCTTTTTAATGTCTATAAGCTCTGTAGCCATGTTCTCCTTATCCCTACCTGATACTATCAATTTGCATTCTCTGGTTTTATGTCTTTTCTTTATCAGTGTTGGTATCAGTTTATCCCTTTTATTAATCTTTCTAAAGAGTAATCTCTTGGCCTTTTTCTATTATAAAACATGATTTTTAATTTAATTTAATTGTGATAAAATATAACAAAATTTACCATCTTAACCATTTTTAAGTATATTCACATTGTTGTGTACCCAATCTCTAGAACTTTTTCATCTTGGAAAATTAGAATTCTTTGCCCATTAAACAACAATTCTCCATTTCCTCTCTTCCTAGCCCTTGGTAACCACCCTTCTACTTTCTATTTTTATGAAGTTGATACTCTAATATAAGTGAAATCATAGGTATTTTTTGTGATTAGCTCATTTTACTTAGCGTGATGTCCTCCATGTTGTAAGTGAATCAGAATTTTCTTCTTTCTTAACGCTGAAAGATAATTTCATTGTATGCATGTATATACCACATTTTGGTTGTCCATTCATTTATTGATGCCCTCAACTTCTAAATAATTATAAACTTCAGAAAGTTACAAAAAAAATTCTTAATATGGTGAATATCTTTATACCCCTCACCTAGGTATATCAATTGTTAACATTTTGCATGTGTATACATGAAAGAGAGAGAAGAGGAACACTGCAAAATGTGAGCAATAACATTATACATGTGTATGTGTATAATGCACATTTTTAAATAAACTATTAGCAGGTTATTTGTAGACATCATGACACTTTGCCCTTAATAGTTTAGACTGTCTCTCTTAGGAAAAATTACATAATCTGCGGCACCTGGTGGTTAAGCATCAGACCCTTGTTTCAGCTCAGGTCTTGATTTTATAGTTCGTGGGTTCAAGCCGCACCCATGTCAGGCTCCATGCTGGCACTGGGGAGCCTGCTTGGTCTCTCCCTCTCTCTGCCCCTCCCCTGCTTGCTCTCTCTCTTTCTCAAAATAAATAAACTTAAAGAACAATTTCATAATTCTACATAACAATACCATGATCATACCAGAGGAATTTAAAATTGATACAATAGGGTCAATATTTATATTTCTCCATTTGTTTCTAAAATGTCTTTATATCTTTTTATTTTATCTTTTTTTAATGCTTATTTTTGAGAGAGAGAGACAGAGACAGAGACACCACAAGCAGAGGAGGGACAGACAGTGGGGGACAGAGGATCCAAAGCAGGCTCTGCACTGACAGCAACAAGCCCAATGTGGGGCTGGAACTCAACGAACCTGGAGATCATGACTGAGTTGAAGTCTGACGCTCAATCGACTTAGCCACCCATGCGCCCCTATTTTGTTTTTTTGATCCAGTATCCAGTCAAGTATTATATATTGCATTTGACTTCCATATCTCTTTAGTCTTTAAAACTGTTGTTTTCCCTTCTTTTTTTTTTTTGTCTTTCATGACATTTTTATAGAATTCAAGTGAGCAGTTATGTTGAGGAATATAATCTGGATTTTATCTGATTGTTTCCTGTTGATAAGATTCAGGTTAAACAGTTTGGTAACAATACTATATGGGTGATATTGTTACTTCTCGTTGCATCCTGGCAGGAAATACTTCATATCAGTTTATCTTATTACTAGTTAATCATTTAGTTGAAAGTTGATTAAACCAGTGTCCATTAGATGTCATCTTGCAGAATGTACCTTAGTCTCATACATTATTTGAAAATACAGGGCTATTACAGTTTCAACAATCTGAAGTGTGTATATTGTCTGTAGATTACCAATAAAGCTTTTTATTTCTTTTAGTCAAATCACACCAGTGCTGGATCTGTATGAACGTAGATGAATTGCAAATAACTAAAATTTGGTTGATGTTTTAGGACTATAGATCTTTGAGCATCAGTGAATTTGTAAATTTGTTAAGTATATTCATAAGTCTTATCATAGTCAAGTCTTAAAGACTTACCTATACCAGATCATACAAGCCTTCATCTCTAATAGTCTGGAATCATTTCTGATTTACTCATTTCATTTGTTCACATTATCCAACAAAAGTGTTACGTGTTTAGTTTTATAATGCTATTTAGGAAATAGAAAAGTAAAACTTTTTTTTTCTTTTATCCTAAGTGGTCAGTGGCGTGCTTAAAGTAAAACTTTTATAACTTAGATTTATATATAATTAATGAATGATAATAGAAAAACACCAACAATTTAAAAATAAAGTTCCTCTAACCTTGTTTCTTGATCTTCTTTTGACATACATGTAATATATGTAATTAAGGCTCCCAACTAAATGCTAATTTGCCTACTTCAGTCATGACTCTAATACATATCTGTATTCTAGGTTTGGGTTGGCACCATTGGGTCAGGCCCCAAGGGTCGGCATCTCTGTGCAACCTTCCAGCACACGGAAACATTTGAGTTTCAGGATGAAGTAGGGGCACTTTTGTTATCTGTGTGTCAGACTGTGAGCCAAGGAATTTTGTGTTTCTTGCCATCTTACAAGGTAAGGGAATATTTATTGTTTCTCTTGCCTTTAAAAAATCACATGAGATTACCATGATAAGTTTCCAGAGTTCAGAAACAACAGAGGAATTATAATTTTCTAAGTATCATATATTGTTTTACTTATTTTTTGATTGAGATAGTTCATTCACTGTTTTACTTGAAACTCTCAAAGACTAAAAGTCTTCAAGCAATGTTTGTTATATGAGGACTGTTTATGTATACATTGTTTTTATTCTTAGGGAAAGCTTGATTTTTTTTCATAGTTGAAGGAAAATAGTATATTCTTTTTCACTTTCACAAATTCTCCTTTTGAATGTTTCATCTGTTCAGTGTTAAACATTCATCTGTTTAGATTCATCTGAATCTAAAGTCAGACTTTCTTTGTTGTCCATCTTTTTACTTCATGTATTTGGCTAGACATTTTTATTGTTTTTAGAGTCACTCTGGTTTTTAATAATATTATGTAAAATTGAGTTACATAGTGTATTTTAGTCCTAAAATTCAAAGCATTAAAACTACATATAATTCCTAAGAATAAAACAGTACTTTATCAAAATTCAAGCTAAATTGCAATGTTGAAAAGTGATATTTCTTTTTATTTTCTCATTGGAAGTTATATATGTAAGGATAGTAGTATAAATAATATATTTGAATGACAATACTGAAATACTTTTGGCTCTGCTTCTCCTTTTATATACATACTGCTGTACCTGAATGTTCTCCAAAATTTCTTATGTTGAAAGCCTAACCCCTAGGTGATATTAGGAGTGAGGCCTTTGGGAGATCCTTAAGTCCTGAGGTTAGAATTGTTATGAACAGGATTAGTGTCTAATAAAAGAGACTCTTGAGAGAAACCTTGCCCCTTCCACCATGTGAGGACATAGGGAAAAGGTGCCAGCTCTGAACTGGGAAGAGAGACCTCACCAAGTGTGACCATACTGGTGCCTTGATCTTGAACTTTCCAGCTTTCAGAACTGTAAGTGATACATTTCTTATGTTTAAAAGCTATTGAGGTATTTTGTTATAGCAGCCCAAATGGGACTAAGACACGTACTTTTTTAGCCAGAGATATAGTAAATTAGTCTTCCTGTAGAAAACTTGAAAGAATTTCTGTCAGAAGAAATTTAATCAGATAGGTTTGTTTGTTCTTTTTTTTTTTACAAGAACATCCAGGGGAAAAAATGGACATAAACATTTAAAAAGTTCTTAAAAGAAAGTAATATTTATCCCAAAGTGTGAACATTTACACCAAACAGCTATGTTAAATAAAACTAATAATTAAGCCTGGAACTAAAGAAAAGTAAAATCTCAATACGTTAATAAACGTCTTTTTATATTTTCCAATCACGATCACAACGCAAGCCAAGAAATGCCCAGTTGAGTAAATAAGTAATTTCATATTCTGCTAGGCTTCAAAGACATGGTAAGAATGATTGTTTATATGCTAGGAAGCAGTTTGGTATGGTTTCTTTGGCTTTTGTTTTTTTTCCTTGGGTTTTTTGGTTTATATATAGAGAGAGGAAAACCAAATCTAATATAAAGGTATTTAAATTGACAATAATATGATTGTCATTGGAAAAGTTACAGTGAAAAAGAAAACAGACTGTTGAACGGTGCATCGTATCATCTTATACCATTGTTCTCAAATGATTTAATTTTCATTAGCTGGGTTCAGCAGTTTGAAAATACATCCTAATTATTAATATATTGAGGTGAAATACATTAGTTGGTAGAAGAAAAGTAACTACTCTAAATATAAAGGGAATGTTACTTCCTAAATTTAAATTTTGGAATAGATGTAGCACAGTATTAATTTTACATTACTGAAATTGATGATTATTTGGTGACTACAGAGACTGTAACATTTAAATATACTTTTGTAGCAGATTTATAAATTGGCATAATGAATGGATTATTTTTCTGTTTTTACCTTTTCAACTAAAAAGAATGGGAAGATGAGAAAATAAGCTTTCAAACATTTTATTTGTCTTAGTTTCTTTTAATAGTGGGATTAATAGGGAGATTTGCTTATTTATTTCAATTTATTGTCTGTTTATATCTTTTTCATTGATTTTTATGGACTTAATAGATCACATGGATATTAATTCTCCATAATACATATCAAAATTTCCCATTTTTCATTTGTTGAATTCATTATTGTAATTTCTTTTTAAAAGTAACTTTGCTATCAAATTAATTCCTATACACAAATAATATAAAATGATCATAATGAAAAACAGTAGCCCCCTGGGTTACTTCTCACCTTTCAGCTCTGTACCTCAGAGACTTCTCAAATCTTTGATCTATTTTTCTGATATTTATTGTTATTTCTTTTTTTTTAATTGTGAAATATGGTTTTTGTGTATTGGTTTTGTATCCTGCAACTTTTCTAAATTTATTTTCTTTATATTGTGGGGGGGGAATCTTTATTTTTCTATTTATAAGATCATATTATCGGCAAACAGATCATTTTACTTTTTCCTTTCCAATTTGGATGTCTTTTTCTTGCCTAATTGTTCTGGGTAGAACTTAAACTACCATGTTGAATAGAAGTCGTGCAAACTGGCATGGTGAGTTGTTTCATTGAGAATGATATTAGCGTTGGGTTTTTCATATATTGCTTTATAATGTTGAGGAAGTTTCCTTCTATTCTTAGTTAATTGACTTTTGGGGGGTCATTGATGCTTTTTCTGTATCAATTGAGAATAATCATATGGGGGGGTTTTTGGTTCTTCATTCTGTTAATTCTGTATGTTACATTAACTGATTTCATATAACTACTCTTTTTAATTTTGGGAATAAATCCCATTTGGTCTTGGTTATAATCCTTTTAGTATGTTGCTGAATTTGGTTGCTGAATTTGTTGAGGATTCTTGCATCACTATTTATAAGAGATATTTGTCTATAGTTTCTTTTGCTGCTTTTTGAGAGAGAGAAAGAGAAAAGAGAGAGCACAAGTCGGGGAGGGGCAGAAAGAAAGGGAGACAGAAGATCCAAAGTGGACTCTACACTGACAGCAGAGAGCCTAATGAGGGGCTTGAACTCATGAACCGTGAGATCATGAACTGAGGTGAAGTCAGATGCTCAACCGACTGAGCCACCCAGGTGCCCCAGTTTCTTTTGTTTCTAATATCTTTGAATGCCTTTGCTCTTAGGGTATATTATCCTCATAGAATAAATTAGTAAATTTTCTTTAATTTCCTTATATTTGTGACTTTTCTAGTTATCCTTCTTTTATTGACATTGGTCTATAGTTTATAGACATTTATAAACATTTATAGACATTGGTCTATAGTTTGTCTTTTTTAGTGGGATCTTTATCTGGTTTTGGAATCAAGGTAATGCTGTCTTCATAGAAAGAGTTTGGAAGTTTTCCTTCCATTTCTATTTTTTGGAACAGCTTCAAAAGAATAGGTGTTAGCTCTTCTTTAAACGTTTGGTAGAATCCCCCTGTAAAGCCATCTGGCCCTGGACTCTTGTTGCTTTTGGTCTTTCCCCACCACCCTCCCCTTCCCATCTTTTCTCCCTTTAGAGAGTTCCCCTTAAAATTTCTTGCAGAGCTGGTTTAGTGGTCATGAATTCCTTTAGTTTTTGTTTGTCTGGGAAACTTTTTATCTCTCCTATTTTGAATGAGAGCCTTGCTGGATAAAGAGTTCTTGGCTGCATATTTTTCCAATTCAGCACATTGAATATATTCTGCCACTCCTTCCTGGCCTGCCAAGTTTCTGTGGATAGGCCTGCTGCAAGCCTGATCTGTCTTCCTTTGTAGGTTAAGGATTTTTTTCCCTTGCCGCTTTCATGATTCTTTCCTTGCCTGAGTATTTTGTGAATTTGACTATGATATACTTTGTTGATCTTCAGTTTTGTTGAATCTTGTAGGAGTCCTGTGTGCTTCCTGGATTTTGTTGTTGTGTCTTTCCCCAGGTTAGGAAAATTTTCTGCGATGATTTGCTCACATAACCTTTCTACCCCTATTTCTTTCTGTTTATCTTCTGGGACCTCTATGATTCTGATGTTGTTTCTTTTTAATGAGTCACTGATTTCTCTTATTCTTAAATCGTGTTCTTTTGTTTTACTCTCTCTCTTTTTTTCTGCTTCATTATTCTCCATAAGTTTGTCTTCTGCGTTGCTGATTCACTGCTCGGCCTCATCCATCCTTGATGATGTCCTTGATGGCGTCCATTCGAGATTGTAGCTCAGTTATAGCATTTTTTATTTCATCCTACCTTTTACTTCTTTTGTCTCCATAGAGAGGGATTCTAATCTATTTTCGACTCCAGTTAGTATTCTTATCGTGATTCTGTATTCTGGTTCAGACATCTTGCTTGTATTTGTGTTGGTTAAGTCACTGGCTGTTTCTTCTTGCTCTTTCTTTTGGGGAGAATTCCTTCATTTTGTCCTTTTGAAGGAAGAAAAAGTTAATAAGATGAAAAAAAATTAAAATAAAAAATTGAAATTAACACACACGAAGAAAAATTAAATAAATAGTACTAGATCCTAGGTGTGCTTTGGTCTGGTTATTGAAAGGAGCTTAATGATTAGAGAAAAAAAAGAGGAAAAAAATAAAATTAAAGAATTAAAAACAACACAGAGACACACACAAAATTGTAAAAATGATGCTAAATCCTAGGTGTGTTTTGGTCTGGTTATTGAAAGGAGCTTGAATGATTAGAGAAAAAAGGGGAAATTTTTAATATTAAAAAATATGTGGCACCTGGGTTGCTCAGTCAGTTAAGCGTCTAACTTTGGCCAGGTCATGATCTCATGGTTTGTGAGTTTGAGCCCTACATCAGGTTCTGTGCTGACAGCTCAGAGCCTGGAGCCTACTTCAGCTTCTGTGTCTCCCTCTCTCTCTGCCCCTCCCCCACTCATTCCCTCTCTCTCTCTCTCTCTATCTCTCTCTCTCTGAGTAAACAAAATGAATAAACAAAAAAAATTTCAACACAAAACACACACAAAATCAAATAAGAAATGTTAGATCCTAGGTGTGTTTTGGTC